ACTAACAAGATCTTGGGCTTGAAAAGGTTAATTAAAGACAGTAAGAGCCTTTTCTCATCAGGTTTGATGAGAAATGAGTTTGCTTTTCTTTTATGCTTTTCTCGTGTTACTTTTGCATTTACTGATCAAAAAGTTATGTACCATATTCCTTTCCTTTCAGAGTCAAATTGGTTATTTTGGTCCAAAGTTAGCAGAGCTTTATTGTCTGACCCATATTGAGACTGTTCAGCTGTGGGACACTGTGGAGGTATGAGTCTCTTTGCAGTGTTAATGTTTGATAGCTCTGCTTATGGGATACAGAAGACTTTGTTTCACCAATGCTCCTACTGGAATAGATATAAGTTTACCTGTAATGGCTAACAAGTTCTTTGAAGTGTACGAACAACTGTACACAGGGTTTTTATGTAAACTTTGCAGTTAGTACTCTACATTTGTAAGATGCGTGTGAAGTGTAAGGAAAGAAATCCTAATTGCAAGACCAAGAGCAGAACTTCTAGGGGAAGTGGGCATTTACAACGTAGATGAAAGTAGTAAAATGTATACACCTTATAAAAATTGGCCTTTTTGTTTGTTTGTTTTCTCTTTTTTTCAGGGTTCAATGACCACACATTTCACCAACCCCAGGGAAGAAAATGGGGTGAGTTGTATGACCAGCTGCTCAAGATCATTTAGCAATAGTCTGAAAAATTTCCTTGACAAATTTCTACGTTTTGTTTTACAGTATTTATTTATTTTTCCTGTTTCCTTTTTCTGCTCTTTGTTAATTTACCAAACCAAAGTTTTGCTAATTAAGTTTCCAATTAAGTTTGCTAATTAAGTTTACACTGCATAAATGTCAATTGGTGCACATCGCTGGGCCTTGTCCTGGTTTTCAGAGCAAGAAGCATATACAGTAAGGAGCCTCCCTGTGGTAAATGTTGACCCTTTATACCCTAATACCCGTATGCATATTCTCCATACTGTTCTCTATACATTTCCTTAAGTGCTGACAAGGAGAATTTGCTGAACAATCAAGAGCTTCTTTAGCTGGTGATCATTTCCTTTATCCTCTTGACCTTAATGTATAATTCAGGGTTGACACTGAAACAAGAAATTAGATGTTAGTCACTCTTACAGGGTAAAGGGTTAATCTTGTTATTCCTCAGTTTTTCTCTGACAAATCAAGGGTACCTCGTTACACTCTTTTTAAAGGGAGACACTGTAAGGGTCTTTACAAAACACACCAAGTCCAGAAATTACGTCCTATCTTCAACTCAGAGTATCAGTGGTTTATATGTGATATATCTACCATGGTAAAGGTAAAGAAT